ATAAATAAATAAATAAAGGTCTAGTGTTTGTGGGGAAATTAACAGGTAAGAATGAAGGAAATGAGTGATACATAATTAGGCAAAATGCAAAAAATAATAGTAGCATTTGCCATTTCCTTCCTCCAGCATTCTCAATTAAAAGTTCCCACTTTTATTAATGTGGCCCAATCATACAAATTTTTAAATGGGCCTAATATGAGAGGACTACGCTACTCTAGATTGGCAACTTATATAAATGTCCTAAATTTTCAGGTGGTTTTAAAAATCATTACAAAAATGGGCAGAAATATACATACTGATATTTCACCTCCAAAATTGTAAGAAATACGGTGTAGAAATAAAAAACATAAAGTTCCAATCCAGAAAAAAATTCGAATCAAACAAACTCCAATCAAGCAAAATCGAAATCATAAGAGAAAATCTTGTACAAATCAAGTCCAAACAAGACCATTTTCTTCAAAATTTTCTTCCCGGAATTTGTAAATAATCAATACAAATATACATGTTTGTATTATTTTTTATTTTTTTATTCAATTAGTTCACATTTGATGTCGTTGAATTTTTTTTCTAGCACATATGAAATTTCATCTTTAAATTTAAAATTTTGAGTTAGTGTATAATAAAATTCAGATTTGAATGAATTGGATTGAGTTAATATACACGAAAAATCAATTTTGGATCAATTCAAGTTATGCATATAAGATATTTATGAAAATGAGAATGAGAAAAATGGTGCTTTCTGTCACTTTTTTTTAAAAAGGTCGCAATTTGTCTCATCTGAATTCTTTTGTATCAATTAAATATGCATAAATACATATGTTTGTGAAAATTTAAATATGGATATAAATTAAAATCATGTTTTACATTAAAAACTTACATAATGTAACACTTTATTTAAATTTTTGTATATGAATTAAGATGTTAAAACTTGAAAGTAACATTTGTTGGAAAAAATTGAGTTGTGGCTAACTTTGGCACGAATTTTGAGCGTGACCCGTTTGGCTATTTTGAAAGAT